CATTGATATGTGTGTGATTTTTATATAGAAGCCTCTTTTAAACAAACATTTAGAGATCAAGCCTTTGCAGCATACAGATGGATCTGTGGTGGTTTTTAAACGTCGTTTATTAGCGCCACACATTTCTAGTGTTTATTTATTGGCAGAAAGACGTGATCTCATAGCACCGGCTAGAGAATAAGGTATTTTCTAACAGGTTATTGGTTGGAATCTCAGTGAACGTAAAGAAGTAACTGTTATAGATATTGTAAATTCCAAGAAACATAAGCCGTTAACTTAGTATGAATAACTCGACATTACACCAAAGGGCCTTCATGCAACCTTCTAGAAGAAGCCAAGGATCATTATTCTTGTACGATATCACATATTTTGTTTGAACGTATAAATGTAATTAAATACCTAACAGTTTTATACGTTGCTTTTGAAAGCCAAACTAAGTAGAACATTTTTTTGTTTTGTACACTATTAGAGTTACTTAAAGCCAGATATCATATATATGTATATACGTTTACGAATTTATGAGTGTACAAAGAAAACGAGAAGCCTACAAACTCTAATACTTAGCCCTAATGTAGCTCCTTTATTATTATCGATGTGTTATATGGTTGTGTGTGCATATGTGCTTTTAACTTAAAATATGTGTATCATTTTAATGTGTTAAATTGTGATAAAACTGTAATATTTCATTTTAACCATGTAAAAACTTTAAACCTTCTTAAAAATTATTAATCTCCCTCCCATCTCTCTCTATATATATATATATGTATGTGTGTGTGTATGGATATTTTCCTATATATTCTCAACCACAGTGAACAAGATAGATGATAACGAAGCCGGTTCATATAAGATAACGGGAGTAAAGGTCTGAACAGGGTAACACGACTAATGAAGAAAACTACACAAATGTCTTCCATACATTAAAAGAGAGCTGTGGAGTGTCTGAGAGAATTCTTCCGATAATTACGAGCGGAACCACAAAGCTAAATTATAGCCATTAATCTGGAATTAAAGTTGTATTTTTATACGCCGAGAGAACCAGCGCTGAAACGGTACCGCATAGTGTATCTTGCGCCACCATTTCGCGTACTTTAGTTTTTTTTTCCTCGATCGATTGGAGGGAGCTTAATGGAGATTTTGAGCTCATGGTGCTTCTCACACGGACGATTAGTTTACAGAATGAGCTGTTCTGATAAAATTAGAAGCACCTTGCAAATATTGTCTATTGTCAACCTTTCTATAGGAAAGTCATTTTAAGAAGTTCCTAGCCTTTACTGCGTGGATCTAATTAAAATAATTACGTTCTTTATTAGTTATCATAATACAGGGTGTCCGGAAGAATTATTAACTTATCGTAACTTACTCTTTATTAACTCTATCTGAATGCCTAGAAACTAAATAACACGTATTTTACAAAGAGAAAAGATATAATATGTAGTAATTTACGGCAGTTACTTTACCGGTAATTTTCCTGTATTTCTTTAGAGTTAGTTAAAACACCCTCAAAATGACTCACTTACCCCTTAGATTATCACCTTATTTATATGCCGTTCACTACCGCTGTCGTCCATGTATTGCATCATATTAAGTCATTTTGTCTGTTATAATATTCAGTCTAAAGAATTGCTTAGAACATCAATCAGTAAGAGAACATTCATGTGCTTAAAACATCAATCAGTAAGAGAGCATTCATGTGCTTAAAACATCAATCAGTAAGAGAGCATTCATGTGCTTAAAACATCAATCAGTAAGAGAGCATTCATGTTCTATGAAATTGACCCTTAGTGGCTCAGCTTTAAGTCTGAAGTCATATAACGCTAAAATCGGGTTTTGTTATTCGTGATGGGCACAGCACAGATAACCCATTGTGTAGCTTTGTGTTTAACTACAAACAGTGTTGATATGTTGGTGTACTATTTTTCTTTACTCGTTATTTTTTCTGTGGCTCAAACATTATTAGAGGCCCTGTTACAAAGTCATGGAACCACACGCAATTTGGTGCATAAAAAAGTTAAGAAATGTGTTTAAGAACTCTTTTAGGTCCATATAGTTCCTATTGGTAATTCTAGGGTTAAAGTAATGAATATTTCTTATGCATGTAGAAACGCAGACGATAAAATTTTTAAGGCATCATTGGAAACCTTAAAACGTTTAAATAATGTTCTTAAAATGATGAATCGTCTTTTAAAAAATCAGTTTATATCTTTAGCTGCACGCTGAACAATAAAATGTCAACTAAAAGAATTTTTTTTTTTTGCTACTAAACCTTATTAAAATAATTGGGATGTCCAATGTGTAATTGGATTCATCACTTATCACCGAGTTATACCGGATCCCTCTTAAATAACTCTTGATAAGGGAAAATTGAAATAACAAGATTAGGATTCATTTACTGTGGAGTGTATTGTGTATATCATGTGTATTTACTGTGGAGTGTATTGTGTATATCATGTGTATTTACTGTGGAGTGTATTGTGTATATTATATGTATTTACTGTGGAGTGTGTTGTGTATATTATATGTATTTACTGTGGAGTGTATTGTGTATATTATATGTATTTACTGTGGAGTGTATTGTGTATATTATATGTGTTTACTGTAGAGTGTATTGTGTATATTATATGTATTTACTGTGGAGTGTATTGTGTATATTATATGTATTTACTGTGGAGTGTATTGTGTATATTATATGTATTTACTGTGGAGTGTATTGTGTATATTATATGTATTTACTGTGGAGTGTATTGGGTATATTATATGTATTTACTGTGGAGTGTATTGTGCATATTATATGTGTTTGCTGTAGAGTGTATTGTGTATATTATATGTATTTACTGTGGAATGTATTGTGTATATTATATGTATTTACTGTGGAGTGTATTGTGCATATTATATGTGTTTGCTGTAGAGTGTATTGTGTATATTATATGTATTTACTGTGGAGTGTATTGTGAATATTATATGTTTGTTTGTTTGGTTTTGAATTTCGCGCAAAGCTACACGAGGGCTATCTGCGCTAGCCGTCCCTAATTTAGCACCCATCGCCAACTCTTGGGCTACTCTTTTACCAACGAATAATGGGATTGACCGTTACATTATAACGCCCTGACAGCTGAAAAGGCGAGCATGTTTGGTGGGACGAGGATTCGAACCCGCAGATTGCGAGTCGAGCTCCCTAACCACCTGGCCATGCCAGGCCATGTATGGTGTTTTGGAGCTGTCTTTGCTCACCACAGTGAACCTATTTCTATATAGGTTGTAGGTTGTTATTCTTAGCGGAAAGCTACATAACAGGTTATCTGCGCTTTGTCCACCGTAGGAAATCTAATCCCGAAAACTTACCGCTGACCATCGAATATATAGGATTCCCATATTAATTTACATTACGTTTTTATAAATTTGTCTGTTTGATTGCGAGCTCCTTGAAAATTTTAGTGCTAGCAGGACCAAATTTGGCAGCGAGACTCGGGGTAACCAGGGGAGTGTGCTAACTATGTAACGTAGCCCCACCACCATATTATATGTATGGTGTTTTGAGTTGTCTTTTTCTCGTCACATTGATACTATGTTTATATAGGATTTGAAGAACATCTAGCATTTTTGTGACTAACTTATTATGTCGAATTATTTAGCAGACAAGTAGTTTAGAATGCTAATATTAAATACTAAACTTTACCGAGGGCACTTTTTGGGTTAGTTTGTTTTATGCTTTTAGTGCAAATGGTTATCTACACATAGCCGTCCATAATTTTGAATTGATAAACTAGAGGGAAGGAAGCCAGTCAACAGTATTTGCTACCAGCTCTTGGGCTGCTTTTATCTGATCGAATAGTGTGATGTGATAATCACCCAAAGTCACAAAGTAGAGAGCGCAAATCATGAACCCTCTGATTCACTGCTAGGAAACGCCAAATACTGGGCCACTCCCGGCCTCCTCGTGGTGTTTTTAAAATTAAAATAGTTTGATGTGGTTTTTCTTAAAATCTAACTTTCTAGAGTTGGTTGCTATGAATATTCATTCCAAACGAAACTATCATCAAGGCGACATCTTCATTAGTTCTGTAAACACTAACTATAAAATCAATTATTCATATAAATCTAATTTAGACAGATATTCTATTTTCTGTCCTTGAGTTTCCTTTTCAAATAAAATTCAACAGCGATGTGAGAAACAGTATTTTATTTTTGAGTTACGGTTGCTGTTCTTTTGTTAAAATTATAAAGAAAATTTGTAAATTTTCGTTGAACTGTACTTTTTCTAGGACTAATTTATCTAATCAAGATTTATAATAATCGGTGGTTAACTTACAACTCATCTCCGTGTTGATCGACAACAGTATTATCATGATCAGATATATATATGTAGGAGTTTAGATAATTGAAGAGAAATACAAGAACTTATTTTTTTTTTTAGATACGTAAGTGTATTTGGATACATCTACAAGGTGAGGAAATAGTTGTGCACCACCATTACATTTCTCTGTTCTGTTCTTTTTTTAGGTTTCTTGTAAACCACTTTTGTGGTTTATTAACTGTCCCTTATTCTTTTGTTATAATAATTGGTTGGAAGTCATTAATCTTGCAAGAATACATGAAAGCGATCCTGTTATGATAACGTGCCATCTTATCAACGGTGCACGTTTCAAATAACCATGATATGGTGGTGGTGGTGTGTAATTTTTGTGCAAGTTGGAAATTACCAGGTTCAATTTGTTTGTTTTAATTACTCCGTTAATCTCATAGTTTCATAAAACTCCAAAAGTTTAGTTCTTTTTATATTCTATACCTAACATATAGAAAGTATATTTTTGAGAGAAAATGGTAATAATAGTTTAGTTAAGACAGAGAAAACGAACCTTGGGTGTTTTTTTTTTCATTAATATTAATTGAAATCACCAGGACAAGAAACCTAAAATGACTTTATTTCTGGTTAAATATTAATTCCCATGTGGTCGTCTATCTATTGGTTTAATCTCTCAAACACTGTTTTTTTTTCTAATCAGACAAACCGGAGGTATTCGTGTCTCTAGAACTCAGCCATCCATCTGAGAAACTCCACGAGGGAGATAGTATTTTTCTGGAATGTCGAGCCCATTCCAACCCTATTATCACTAGCATTCTGTGGTACTTTGAGGATAACCTACTTACGAGCAACTCAACAGCAGATATATTCGTGAGAAACCAGAGCATTGAGATCAAGAATGCACAAAGGAGACATAGTGGAAAGTACAATTGTGCTGCGGAAAATGCCGAGGGCCGGAGTACTAGTAACGGATTTCAGTTAAATATTAAATGTAAGTTTCAATCTTAGTTAAGTCACAGCGTATAATTGTAATCAACCGAATGGAATATAAGTAAAGTGGCATAAGAGGCGAAATAATTTAAATGATATTCATTTATTTGGCTTTTCATTAAAGACTATTTCCCTCCAAAGCAATTAATAGGCTATATATGGTTAAATGATTTAAATAACAGTACACTGCTCATCTGATGATGTTTGGTTAATGTAATGAGATGTTGTAGTTTTTAAACTTTTAAAACCTAATTTATTTCGTAAACAAAATATTCTAAGTGAAATACACAGAATTACAGTTCCAAAAATTGGTATTTAAAATGCCAAACTCTTTCGATCAACCGTGCTTACGTATCTGTTCTATTGGCAATAAGCAAGAAGAAAGATGACGAACTTAGCCTAACTTACTGGAAGAACTAAGCTTGGCTAGAGAAGAAAAGTAAACATTTTTATATGTTATTCTATTTGAAACGCTTACGAAGCGATAGTTCGAAATATAGAATGATGCATTCGTTTGAAATTATTCTTCGACGCGATTTCTTCGGGGGCCATCGTTGTGCAAAATCAAATATGTCGATTTCTAGTTCAGGGTAATTTGCAAGTGAAAAGCAAGTGTGTGAGTCAGCCACCTTTTTTTAAGTAAGCAGAGTCTCAGCCACATACAGCCTTTTGAACGGAAATACACTCTGAGAAAATATTCTTACGAGGTTTCTGAAAAGAAAAATCTTTCTGCTTCTCTGTGAAAGATTCGGGTTCATGTTTTCTTACAACTGTTGCATCATGCAAAAGTTTTGAAGCGTGAGAAGCAAGTTCTCATGAAATTAGTAAGAGCCTCCAGCTGTCCTCATTTTTACGTATGGTTTGGCCATATTCAGTACTCGGCTGTTGCTGGACTAAGAAAGAGTATTATTATTTCCTATTGTAGCGGGGATAAAGTTTATAAAAAATTCTTTAAACGCACTTCAAAGATTACCACCTTTGAACCTACAGTTTCGCTTACATCGATCCTTACTAGTATGGTACGAAATTCAAATAAAGTTTCAAATGATTGAAACATATAATTAAAAATACGTTAATACTACTGTTGTGAGGTATTATTAAATAAAGAAACATGAAATAGAGGATATAATATTACCAATATTTAAAGAAAAAACGTCTTTACACATCGTATTTACAAGATTTAAAATCTGGGCCTGTGTGACTGCACTCCGCTCGTGGACGAGGGTGTACGTGGAAGTTGATTGTTTGGAAAGCTTTCGCAAGGACGGCCACGCGTGCATGACAGGGTTTATATTGAGCAGTTGGCTTGACCATGAGAGAGTGGAATGTTCTGACTTTCAAGCCATCATTTAGTGACTCGGGTTGAATGATAAGGAAGCCCATCTTGCAGGAAAACATTGCCTTGTCGAAAATTGTGACGTATGAAGCAACAAGGACCTTCACTTCGCATACCACCAGCTGTGATTATACAGCTGCCTCGCACCATGAAAGAAATATCCACAGATTTTTGTTATTTTGTTTTGGTTTGCAGACGGCTCAGACCAAATAGTCGCGAATGGTCCACTATTCGAAAATTGTGTAAATTTGGACTCATCGGAAAACATTACAGTGTCTTAAAAAGCAGGAGGGTGAGATTCTATCTGTAATGCTCTTAATTTATGATCAAAGCAACCTACCGGCATAGATCAGAATTAAAACACATATCCAGTAACGATCATAGGTAATTAAATATAATGTTCAAACCGTATTTTTTATAATGATTATAATTTATCGTTTCGTCAGTTGGATACCCAATAGTATCTCACACGGTTCGACCAGCCCAGAGGGCTTTAGTTAGCCCTAAGTCCATATAATAAACTAACAATTCAGGATAATTATTATAAAATACATGAAATTTACTTGGGAATAATAAAGAATAAAACGTAGATATACTAAATATTCTAATCACCGCAGTCTGTTTTAGGTTCGTCATAATGTATTATGGTGGTTCTTTGAAGAACCGGGATATCTAGAACCAAAAGAAAATAACACACATTATATTATTAACGGTTAGAGTTTGCAGAGAGGTAATATTTCAAAAGATTCTCCATTGTAAACATAGCGTCTATTTAACGAATAAGCTTAGATTTTGTGAGTTCCAACGTGATTGATTTAATTGAAAGAAAGTCTTAAAGTTATTAGTGAAACTTTAAAAAAAAAAAACATATATTTTTATTTACGTTCCATTACTGATTTCAATGTCTTTTCGAATTTGGCTTCTTTGTCCAGATGCTCCTATCTGTAAAGATGGACAGAAGACAGCATATACAGTGTCTTTAAACGAAGGCGTGCAGGTCACATGCGAAGTAGACGCAGATCCCACGACTATCAACTTTCTTTGGCACTTTAACAATTCGGTGGAGAGTCGAGAGATTCTGTCTGTAAGAAGTGATGGTCTCGTAAGTTCGGCACGTTACATTCATCGTCAGCACGACGACTTTGGCGTTTTGACATGCAGAGGACAGAACTCTGTTGGTGTCCAGAAGGAACCTTGTCGATACAGTCTCATCCCAGTAGGTTGGTAGAAACTTTAAAATATATTTACATAAATCAGAACCTTAGATTGAAGCGATATCATTTCAATAATAATGGCTATCTCGTTCTGAATCTGGATATATCAGATGTGGTATGTTTGACATATTATAATATATTCTCATTTTTTCTTTTTCTCACGTAATGTTAGAATAAACTTATCGTAGTTACAGTGCCAACTTTTAATCAGGTAATATTACCACTTAGTTGTCACCCTGCATCCTAGGTAATACGAAATTTTCAAACCTCATCAATCTAATTTTATCTTACTGACTGTAAAATACTCGAACCAATTAAATATAAATTTCCCCTATTGGTTATAAATGTTCAGTTAAAATCGACCTAATCATTGATAACTTTTAATAAAAAATAAGCTAACGATATATGTTTAAAACTTTCTTGATGAATACAGGTCTGAGCGTGCCCGAATACTGAATCTGAGGATTCTTAGCTCGTGTCCCTTTGACACATATATACTTGTTCCGCATTTTGAAGCCGTGAGTACGTTGTTCAGTCAAACAAAATTGGTTAAAAATAGCGACAGCTATGCTCTGGAAGACGTTATGTAGATTTCAGCAAATATTCTCAAACAAATAAAGAAAATTTACTGAATATGGACTTCTCTCACTACATGAACGTAATGCCATCTCACTAAAACCTACTGAATATTAACTTTTCCCACTACATCAATGTAATGCCATCTCATTAAAACCTGTTGATTATTAACTTCTCTCACCACATGAACGTAATGTCATCTTACTAAAACATACTGAATATAGACTTCTCCCACTACATAAATGTAATGTCATCTTACTAAAACCTACTGAACAGGAGGTTCTCTCATTACACCAATACAATGAAATCCTCATACAGTATGTATTTGTTATCATCTCATAAAGAATGAAGCTGCTAAAGTATCCGAGTAAAACTTCAAGATAGAAGGTGTAGTTATTCTTATCACATGTTAACCGTCAAATTACTGACTTGTTTATATTCCTTTCACTACCGACGGAATCACATATTGCATCATATTGAGTAATTATAAGTTTTTGCATGCTCTCAAAGTAAAGAAATAACCAAGGAAACTGTGCAAAATCATCAATTTTATGTAAAGTACGTAGGAAACATAAGAAGTGATTAGTGTAATTATTTGCAATATTGATGGTATTTTTGTTGAAATGTTTTGTGTATATCTTCATAGCATATGTTATTGGGACTTTGTAATCAAGAGGATCGATGATGATTTTTGGTACCACACTCCTCAGAAAATATGTTTAAAGAGCCGATAGTGGCTTCACCAATAATCCTAGTATATTAGCAAAATAATAGAATATTTGTTTATCTGATTTTGTAACCCAACCAGCTCTCTTTATCAGGCGTAAGGCGTGGCCTAGTGGAATTAGTGTGGCCAGACTGTGAATCAGAATGTTCATGACTTAGCGTCCGGTTGCCTCAAAAACGTGTTCCGCACTTTGGAACCGTAGGTATTCTCTAGAATTAACGCTTAAATTACACTATTTGGTCATACAAGAGTAGTCCGAGAGTTGGCGGTAGGTACTATTGACTGTCTTTCTTCTAGTATATCCAGTAAATATTAGGAACGGACTTGCGCAGATAGCCATTGTATAGCCTTTTTGGGTAAATTATAATACAAAATAAACAAGTCTTTTATTAGAATGTTAAGATTGTAACTTTTATAGGAGTTCCCTAATACTTTTTGGAGTGGAAGAAATGTCTCATTTACGTAATGACGAAACTGTCAAAATCAAGAAAAAAAAAAAACAGTCGAAAAGTTAGAACTATTTATTGGAAAGAGACGAAG